ACTTTGTACTGTAATTTCTTTGCGTACTTCTTATCACTACTACTTGACTTTGCCTTGTATATTATATTTGCCAAGATATCTCTTTCAAAAAAAATTATTTGAGTAATTTTTAGGGCTAAAAATTAAGTGAACGACCATGCTCTATTTTCTTTCACGCTGAATAAATCATAAATTCATCCAGGGAATTTTACAAAACTTTTGAGAATTTTCTACAAAATTAATTAGTTATGTGTAACATCCATTATAAAGAGGATTACATGCATTTAATGACTTTATATGTTATTAATAACATGCAAATTTATCTGTCATTAACAACAAATTGATTAATTAATTTAAAACCATTTGGTCTTAAAAAACAATTTTAGTACAAATTACACTTTTGATTGAATTACATTAGAAGAAGCATCAGAAGAAAAAGAATGAGATTAGAAAAAGGATTTATCACTTACTATCCTGCTGTGGTTGAAGTGACACTATTTTAAGTAATGAATTTGAACTACTGCAAAAAAGATTAAAAATGAATTGATTTTCAGTACTGACACAAAGGATTAATCAAACTTAAAATCAAAAATTAAGATCAAATTTTCGAAATCGAATTTGTTAATAAATAATTTAAATTGAAATCGCATTCATTTATTAACAATCGCTTAATATGGTTCTCAGCACAAAATTCATGGAAAATAACTGGAAACATGAGCAGAATTAGCTTGTGATATAAAGTACAACATATTTTATCGAAAATAATACTTTTTGAAGAGTTTCACTTCCATTGTTTTAGTTCTTTTGTTTACTTAATTGGATAAATTAAGACAGACAGTAATAAAAATGACTTTTAATGAGTTTTGAAAAAATGTGAAGTTAATGTTAATTAAGTTTAAATGAATTGTGCGGATTAGGTTTTGGAAATAATAATCACTGGTACTGCTTTTTTTGAAGTTAACTTTTAACAAACGTATTGATTAGTTCGATATGTTTAGAGTTATATTGCTTGAAGTCACTACGATAATAAATGAATATTTCATATACATTAACTTCACATATATAATTTAATAAGATTTGTGTCACTGATAATTTTTTTAGAGTTTAGATACAATTTGTTCATTACGGTTGCTATTGTATTTTCTGTAGTGCTATAAGTAGCATTTTTCTACTTTTGTATTTAAGTGCCTTAACTTTATGTATTTACATAGACAGTTTCATTATTATTGAATTAATTATGTGCATCTTTTGATTATCATATCACACCACACCATTCATTGCACGCTAAGTCAGTCTTGTTGTGGTGTATTAATACTAAATACTTTCTACAATTTCGAATTTCGTTCTTTTTCGTTACTGCTTTTGTCCATTCTAAGCTTCAAACGATGAATTCTTGCATTTTTATCACTCACTTATGTGAAGGAAGACAAGTATTTCTTTTCAATATGCAGTGACTATAATACATTTCAAATTTTTTTTCTTATCAAATTTCATTTGAAATATCACAACAATACGAAATAGAAGCAAAATGTGTACAAAAGCAAAAAAAACTGAATAAATAAATAAATAAATAAACGTGTAAAAACAACACACACTTTGATTTGAAAATTATTACTTTCACGTATTTTCACGAGGGAAGAACACGGGAAGAAAGTAAATATTTTCATAGAGGCTAAACAATACTACAATGCTAGTATGAGAGTGTAATTGCAAATTCTTCACAGTACTTCTCGAAGACGACTTAACCTCCAATCGGAACATTACCCAGAGTAAGCGCCACCAGTCCCGATACTGAGTGCTCCAGCGGGCTGTGCTAAGCCAATACTTTGCACATTAGCACTTTGTCCACTCGAATATGTTCCAATAGGTATGGCCACAGCAACAGGTGGCCCTGCACCATAACCATCGGCCTGAGGTCGCGCTCCCGAATATACCGGTGCTTGTGGAGGTGAATATACTGGTGCTTGTTGCGGTGAATATACCGGTGCTTGTGGTGCTGAATATATTGGTGCTTGTGGTGCTGAATATACCGGTGCTTGTGGTAGTGCTGCATATGATGGCGGTAACGGGTATGGACGTGGTGGTGGTGGTGGAGCAGGGTATCCTTTTATTTGTGGTTGTCTGAAATTAACATATTTATTGACAAAAACTGCCTTCTGCTGTCATATTTACAGCTTATTTTATTTTTCTTTTCAGTACGATGGTTGAAAATTTGAATTAAGATAAAAGAAAATGAATTTCACAAAAGATTAATTTAATTAATAAGTGCCTTAGAAAATTAGCTGAAAAATGTTGATGAAATGAAATTTACCCTTTGATTGGTTTAGCGCAACCTTTACAACAGCAACCACTGCTAAAACATGCCAAAGATGGTGCTACTGTTGCTAATAGCAGTAGAACAACCTAAAACTAAGTTTTGCAGTAATTTGAATTAAGAAAATGTTAATTCAGTGTGGTGGCAAGAAGAAATTCAAATTTATTTTTTTTCAATAAATAGTGATATGGAACAAAAAATAGTGCTTGAAAAATGCTTTATGCAGTCACAACTTTGAGATATGAATAAATTCACTTACACCCTTTTTCATCATATTTGTTGGTAATTTGAATAATTGTTACAAAATTTGAAAAAAATAAACAAAGTATCAATACTTATGGTTGTTGTCATTACACATCCATAATCATCAACAATTCTTTACATGATTGTGTATGTCATTTTCATGACAGAGATTTGAATTTTCCAGTAAACTAAGAAATTGGAACTTTCATTTATTAACTTTTTGCGAGTAAACGAGTAAAACTAACACGGGAAATATTGGAAGTGGACATTGACGTTGGTAGAACGTGAAAAGCTAGAACTTCTCGTACTTTCTCTTGAGATGACCCCTCAGATTAACGGTTTAATAAAAGTAACTGGAAAAATTAATCTTATTGAAAATATCGCTGTTTAGATGATATATCAAATCAGAGTAACGAGCAGATCTCAAGTTATAACTTAGGTCTTGGTTCTAATTAACTGTTAATTCATTTCCATTACTATAGTAAGTTATATTTCTGCCTATAAAAATTATTTTTCATATAAATTTATTAAAGAAAAAGCATCAAAAAATTAAGTATTTATGAAAAAAAAAATCTTTGACAAACTTCGTAATTAAAAATCCTAATTATAATTTGCATATTTTTCTGGGAGCAAATCAGTTTTTACAGAAATACTAGCGAAGTTTAAAGCAGCGCCAAGCATTTGAAAGCGAAACTGTTTTCCACAGTAATAAATGAAAATTTCTGTAAGACTGAACTCTCATATATAATTAAGAGAAGCACTAAACTTCAAACTATCACTGATTTTAAATTTTTAAATGATATTACTGCAAAGAGTTTCTGTTTTTTGTTAGCTAAAATTCTTCATTTTTTCATTTCCTATCAAAATTTATCACCAGATGTGATGATTATTTACGGTCAACACTATTTTTGATGGTTAAAATTTATTGCTGATTGTTTATTTGAACAAAAATAATTCGCGCACATATTCAATGTGGAAAAATATATTCGTCAAAAACTTTAATTCATAAAAACTTTTAAGATTACAAACAATGTAAATGTCAAGTTTTAACATCAAGGACTCAAAATGGATTTAATATGGAAAGTGTGGCTGAATGTCAAATTTGCTAAAATAACAGGATTTTATCAATGCTGTCAAATGCAAAATTCGAAGATACTATAAATCAAAATATAAAATTATAAGCTTTGCAACAATTAAAGTTGTGTAATTGAAGCAGAATTTATTGATAAATAAAATTCAAAATTGGAATTTTATTCAATCACAAATTTTTACAGTAAAGAAAGAAAATGTATAAAAAGAGCACAAACAGTTCTTGTAAACATTAACACTGTGGACGAAGACAAGGATGTGACTCAAAAATAGTGCTTTTATCGTGTTTGCATCCGCTAGAATTTAGTGAATTAAATGTGGGATTTTCGGTTACAAAAAATTCATCCACTAATTAATTAATCAATCAGGAATTACTGAAAGAAAAAGTGGACAGATAAAAAGGTAGGAAGGGATAGTGCTGTGAACCCAATTGGGAAAATCGCCTTTCCCGCGGGGCAAATGATCCAGGAATGAAGAAAAATACCAAGAAGATATTAGGGATAAAAAGCTGTTTTCTCATCATAATGAAAGGCAAATTTGTTTGGTATTAAGTGACAAATGCAAAAATAAAACGGTAATTTATCAGTGAATAATTTTGACCACTTCTTTTTCACATTTATCCTTTTTTTTCCAGATAATGTTAACCGAAGAGAGGCAAGTAGTGAAAGAGGTGAATAAAAGTAACGTCTAAATTTGTAATATCAGTGAGAGGTAGATAGACGAAAATGTTAAAGTTTGTTCGCAAACATTCTTTTTCTTGTCTATAATCTAACAGATTTTGGAAACTGAAGAAAAAGTGAAATGACCTGAAATTATTCAAAGAATTAATAGAAGAAACAATTAATCAAATTTAGAATAACAGGAAAAATCCGCCAAACCAAACAATTCTCAGTACTTGATGTGCTGCAAAATTTTGAATATAATAAAAAATTTCTTATAAGCAAGCAAATTATCCAAAATCATTTTTGATACATACTGATAATTTGATATGCAATTACTCGTTTTTATCACTCTTTTTACTTTGATTTTGCTCTATTTCAGTTTTTAAATTAAAAATTATCCGTTGAGATTTTGTAGCAAATTTTGCATTCTTGCACTACACGCATAAAGAGCTTCTGAAGGATTTAAGTTTGTATTACTTCTTTTTTGATTCATTCAAACTTTGCTGTTTTCTATCCCTGCAAAAATTCTCTTTAATTTGCACACTTTTTTTGACACAGTTTTAATTTTTGGTGTTCGCAGCAATATCGAAAGATCTTGATTTATTTGAGATGACGTAGAAAAACTTCTTTCTTGCAAAATTTATCAAAATTATTAACATAAATATAAATTATTTTTGCAACGCATCAAAATTCTTCACTAAAACATTCTATGTTTAGACGATTCTACCTCACATCTCATTAATTTTATTTATAAAAAACAAAATCAAAAAGTACAATCTCGAAAATTTGCATAATGAATAATAAACTTTAGTCATTTTTCAAATTAAGTAAACTTAGCTTAATTGAAATTTACAGCAAAGCAGTGCATTTAAAACTGTAACTAAAATTTATATTAAAAAATTAAATATTTGCAAGAAATTTTCGAATATTTATACTATAATTTAAATGAAAATTAATTATAGAAAGATTAAATGATAAGAGTGTTGTAAAAAAGTCTTCCCTTATATTTGAGTAATTCTATTTTTACTCTAACTAAAAATTGAACAAACATGATTATATCTCAATAATAGATATTTTTTTCCGTGAATTATTAGTCTGAAATATATTAAATAGTTTCATACTACGTGTAATTATACCTTTTGTGAAACAACGAGAGCAAAAGTATTTTCTATCAAATTAAAAATAATTTTTTAATTAATTAATTCTTTTTAATCATTTTTTAAATTAAGTAAACTTAGCTTATTTAACTTTGCTTGACGTTAAATATTTTCATAAGTAAAGTAAATTAAGCAAGTTTTTTGGCAAATTTTTTTATTCAATCGTTTTGTGTTATATTTGCAAGTTATTTAGCAAATTAACGTCTTATAGACAATAGAATACTTTGAATACTCATAAACAATACTTTGAAAACTTCGCTGCAACATTCTTAGACTTGAAATAATTTGTGGTATGTAATAATCATATTACAGAATCCAAGCTTGAAAAATAAAATTTTAAATTAGACAACTTTTTGTGGTTAAATTCGACAGTTTGTTTGAAAAAATCGTTTTTATTTAACCTCATGAATGAATGCCTTGGATATATTTTCTTCCAGAGTGATCTAGATTCTACTGATCCGTGTAATGTGCATCATTTAAGTTATCCATCTTTTGTTAATTAAACATGACATCTAAATATTTGCATTATTTTATTTTCTTTACTATAAAATTGCATAAAGTTGTAGATTACTTTGTATGGAGCTGTTCATGATTACTCGCTTTATCAGCATTAAAATATTTTCTAAGAATTTATCTTCAGTCTTCATTAAAAATGCAATAAATTTAAATCAATTCCTTACAGTAAAACTCATTTGATTACAACTGCATATGAAATAATGTCATATACCAGTATTTCTGAGCAAAACGAGAATATTTTTATGATGGCGATGGTCATCAAACAGATTCCGATATCTTTGTCAAAGTCAAATTTCTTGTCTATTTACCACAGAAAATCGGATATTATCCTAGCAAACCTGAAAAACTTGAAAAGTGATATGACGATGACATTTTTCAGGTTTCTCAGGATAATATACTAAACCAAATGGAAAAATTGATGCGAAACAATTATTCAGAATTGAATAAAAAAGAATTTGCAAAAGTTATGGGAATTTCGTTAGTTCTATACGTCATACTTTGCAAATTTTTTTCACTTCTTTTTTGCATAATTATTCAAATTGTCAGACATCTTTGAAACAGAAAATAAATTTTGGCACTGTAAGCAATGAATTAAAAAAAGTTTTGCACATTTTGCATTTCATTTGTTATTATTCTTACAGTATAATTGTATATGCTCAATTTTTTGCAACTAATCTTGCAGATATTAATTCATTAATTGCATAATTAATTTGCAAGCTAATTCTGCAATTAATTGCTAACAAAAATAAATGTACAGCGGATAAGATGGAAAATTTGAATGAGAAATTTTTTTTAATTCACTCGAAAAGCCTAACAAAATAGCAAGATTTGATTCAGTTTAAGTTTTAAACGCATTCAAAGAAGGACTTTTAAATTTGAATGCAAATTTGCAAAAAATGTTGACCCTGTTTATCAAATTAAAACTTTTTAGCTTCCAACAATCATGTTTTAAATAAAATTTGTGACAAAGAAAACTGTAGTCAAAAGATTAATTCAGCTCAAAAAAATCATTTCAAGAAGCTTTTCAAATGTCTACAAAACTTGTTTTATCGCTGCAGATCTCGAAGAAACTAAAATATTTGTTACCTATTCAAAAACTAAATATCCCAATTAGTCCCTTAGGAGTTTTTTAAAATCTGAATACGATAAATTCAAAAAAATTCGCTCGTGGTCAAGTCTATGATGTCATTATTTATATCATTTAATAGATCAACATTTTTCTACGTCATTTTTATTCATGTTTACAGAAAATTTGAGTTTAGAAATTTATAAAGTGATCATCGAGCAGATAACATTCTGTATTGTTCGTTTGTATGAAGTAAAAGTTGCAAAGTGATAGTATATATCTGAACAATATGCACATTCACTAACTTTTTAGATAGTAAAAAGTATATTAATAAAAGTAAGTTTAAACTTTTAACTTATTATTCTCAATAATGTAATGAATCACTTGCTTTGCTAAAATACTAAATTAATTTTTGGTTTAAAAAAGTTAAACTGAAAATACTTCTTTCCCTACTTCTTCATTCCGCTTACTTTTACTACGCATCTTTGATAACTTTTCACACTGCTCTTTTTTCACTCATTGCTTCGCTGTTGCATATCTTTTCAATTTTTTAAATTGCCAAAAAACCAGTCTAAAACAAAAATACTTCAAAAGTTACCATTTGTTTTTTTAAATATGCAAAGAAATGGTATTAAATTTTTCAGAGAGTAATTTTTTCGCCTAAATCCATTTTTTGTTGTTGTTAAAACAGTTTGAATGCATATATTTTATACAACAACTAAAACAATTACAAACTATTCAAAGGAGTAAAGTTACCAAAAACAAATCCCTGAAGTTTTAATTTGAACTTACAAAACAATTTGTTAGTTCAAATTTGTAACGTTCTTTTCATAGCTTCAAAAAGCAAACTGAAAGAAATTTTACCGATTTAAAGTTTAAATTATGAATGAAATTTTGCTACTAAAATAACTATTAAATCTCAGTCAAAAATAACGTTGATTCCGACGTAAGTAAAATGTTTACTCTACGCGTTTGCAATTTTGTGAAAATAAATTCTTCAAACTATTTTAAACTATTTAACTAATCTAATCGTAGAGTTGAAAAATAATCAAGAATTTATCTGAGGAACTGCACTTAAGTACCCATGAATAATTTGCTCTTGGGTCTACTTTACATAAAGCAGCTCCGAGTTATTTTATCAGAACGGTTTTAAAGTTACAGAAGTAAGAATATCAGGTTGAAAAATGTTTAGAAAACAAAAAAATAAACAAATATTTATTGCAAATATTGGTTATATACAGAACAGTTCAATTAGGTAAATAAGAACGCGATTGTACAGAGATCGTATAGACATGGCTGTTATCATATGTACAAAACAAATTTTCAAATAGTTTTTAGCACAATTTCGAGCATCCTGTTGTTAAGAAGTGATGATATAATATTAATCCTCAAGTATACAATATTTACAGTTTGTTAAAATTTCATTCATAGATCGTACATTAAAAAATAATATTAGTATTAAGGATTACTATAAAATTTGGTCAGAACTGGCATATTTATTAGACTTTGATGATAGTACATAATCATTATTTTTGATCAGATTCCAGATCAGTTTGATTACTTTCAAATGTTTCCGGTAGTGATTCTAAAACTGGTTGGAATCTTAACCTTGTAACTGAGCTCCTTGTTTTCAGTTTAGCTTTAAGATTTTTGTGCTTAGATTTTGCTTCTACTACAGTTTCATTGTGTTCCTGTAAATGTATCATAACATTTTATAAAAATTTTATGCTCTTAAACTTTAATCTAATAGAAACAGTATATCTGCAAAGGTTTATTGATTTTTTATGCATTAAAAGTAGTACATTTGAAAATTTTTCATAAATCAATTAGTGTTCACCAAATTTATCATTCAAATAAGCTCTGAAATACATCTAAGTCATAATTTTTTCAGGAACAGATACAAGCGTTTGAAACTTCACAAACTTAATTTACTACAAACAGTGATAAATGTTAAGTAAAAGCGTAAAAATGGCACAAACTTTGTTGATTTTACAATTTTATTTGTTGAAAAGAAAATTTTAGTGCTTAAAATTATTGTCATAATCATACAAAAATCATGCCTCATCTCGTTGTGGAATGACTTCCTTCAAGTATACATCAGGCAAGAGGGCATGATCTTGAGCTGCATCTCGAATCAGCCTCACTGAACCAAAGGTTTCTTTGATACCCTGAAGAACTAACCAAAGACATTCGAAAAAGTTCGTTCTCAAAGAAATTACTACTTTTTGAATCAACCAAAATTTCATCTCAATATGAATGTTTTTTAAACCTGTTCAAATGAGATTAATTGTCGCCAAAAGCCAATATTTGGTCTGACTAGCGGTCTTTTACTAGCCATTAGATGATAAGCATCTCGTAAAGATCGACAGTGATACTTGGTAAGATAAGCCAAGCAAATAGACGCCGAACGCGACACCCCAGCCACACAATGCACTAAGACTCTACCACCATCTGCGATTATCGACTGGATCTGATCACTTTGAATTTCAAGGTGAGGATAGATGTAAGTATCAGGAGTATCATCAATCCACAACTTGATTCTTTCATAATTACTCAAACTTTTCAAATTTGGCACCTAAAAACTGAGAATTTAAAAGTTAAACAATTATTGCAAACTCCTCACAACATAAATTCTAAAAAATAATCATATTTATTTATCATAAAATTTTTAAGTATCACGACTTTTGAATAGAATAGAATTCACAAATCATTAACTGATTATCTTGATTTTAATTTGTAACTGTACTGCAGAAAAGTATTCCCATATATGTTATTTAATACAAGAAATATCAAAATTTTCTCACATGCCAATAATTCAATACCTCATTTGTAGCATTGATAATATGAGTAATATGATAACTTGAAATCAGTATCGGATTTAAGGAACTGACACCACAGATCAACAATCCGGGAACAATTTCTGTGATTTTCGCATATTCAGGATTGACTCGAAAAACAGACATTGTCATTTTGATGTTATATCTTTTTTCTTCCCTATCAAATTATTTGAAAATTAGTTCAATAACTCATCAAGTAATGCTTATTTGCAGACTTGGAGCATTTGAAAAGTGCAAAAAATAAATTTTGAGAAAACAGAAACTGAATTTTTCAAAAAATTTCTGATGGATTTTAATTTTTGTAGCAATTACAGCAATGCAAATAAAACATAAATAGCACAAAAACCATAATTAGAAGGATCATTGGTATTCAATGATGCTATGACCTATAATTTGATATGATTTGATCAAATCATCAAGCACTTAAGGAGAGAATTTCGGATATGGCATTAAGAGTGCTACTGAAATTTAATTTATTTGTTAACTTTGTAAGATGCCAAAACATCTAATCAAATCAAGATGGCAAACTAAAACAACCAATACACAAATTGAGACTAGAAGTAAATTGGCTAAGTAGAAAAAATCAATACTTTAGCTTAGTTAAATCATATCTTCTATGTGAGATCAAGCAAACATGTCAAAATGTAAATAAGGTCAATTTTTTCCCTACAATAGCTTTTTTTTTTTTCTACTTAGCCAATTTTTTTTTCCCTACATTTTTCCCTACAATAGCAGCAGTATATTACTGCTGCTATTGTAGGGAAAAATCATGAAAATTGAGCATGTAAAATGAGTCAGATGCTATAAAGTGGGATCAAAAGTAAGTGATGCGACAATACATACTGTAAGTGAGTCAAATCGAGCTTATATTGAATTGAGTAGTACTAATAAGGAAGTGAATCAGATCAAGATGAATTAGGTCAATGTATACTATACTTTAAGTCAAGTAAAAAAAGTTAGATTGCCGAGAAGAAAAGCCAAATTTGAGCATTGCAATAGACTCATTCTTTTCATTTAATTTTGGTATTAATAAAGTATTGAAGTGCTGGCTGGCCTTAGATGAGAGTAAGTAAAGTAAAGTAAAGTGAAGTGAAGTAAAGTAAAGTAAGCGTTGTCTTTTTGGACTAACGCAATTCGTTTTTAATCATTTCTTCAGCCAGCGTTAATCTTTGATCACTGAGAAATTCTTTCTTTCCAAATTTTTTATTTTCCGTTTATGTCAGTGATCTCGTCAACAACACTTCACAGAAGTGATACAAAAGATGAATTTATTTGAAAAGATTCAATTTGTTTACTTTTTAGTTTTTCATTATTAGTTTTAAGTTATAAAAAGTACGAAAATAAATATTAAATGTCAAAAAAGGCCAGAAAAGTCTTTAAAAAACATTAATTTAGAATTAAAACACAAAATTTGGATTGATGGAATGTGGCACAGAAATGGAAAGATACAGTCTTTGACTGTAAATAAAACACAAAAATATCAAAGAAAAAAGTAGCAATTTTTTGTACAAAATTTTATCTGAGAATCCTTATCTAAAAGATTATATTTTTGTGATGATAACAATTACAGAATCTAATGACAATTTCCCTTTTTCTTCACTTTAATAATCTTCCATTTCAAATATATGAAAAACAAAATGTGTCATTACAAGCACTGTAGAGTTGAGAATTCAAAAAATTCTTCAAATATGCTACTTTGACCTTTTTCATACATGAGAACTTTTAAGTACCACAAAAAAGTAACTATCATTTCATTTATTAATTAGCTAAAAATAGTTAATTATTAAATTTATTATTAGATTACGAATTATGAATTGAACACATTGCCACTGTTTTCCTCAAGACAATATTTCATAGTTTACTCTTTTTAAAGCTATGAATCCATTAATTTGTTTCCATATCTAATAATATGCTGACTTGCTCTGAAGTAGACAAGATAACGCATTAAACTTATTACTAATATTAATATCATCCGTATTATTGAAGTTATTTTCATTTTTTTAATTATAATTCTTGAAATCTTGGTCGTTTTCAAATTAAGGAAATATATTTTGTATTAATTAAAAAACTATGAAAATTTTTCTAGAAAATTATTACGTGTTTCAAACTTGTAGCAAAACCTGAAACTCGAATTATGAAGCATTTTTAAGTTAAATTTTAATTAATTTAAGAATAAAAACAATAAAACACCGCTTACTGAAAATTATATCAAAATTCACACTTGCACTCAGTTATTATCAATTAAATTTCAGAAAAAAAGGGAAATATATGAAGCTTCAAGACGAGATCTAAGCAAACAATATCTTGGCATGGCAAACAATACCTTTAAATACGTTTAAATTATTGAATATATTAAGCGTAAAATATTCAAATGCTTCATTCCAATTATGTTTCAAAAATATGCATAAAAAAGTAATAATTTGAATTTGATAAACGTTTCATTGATATGATGAGCTGGCGAATTGATCAACAGCAACACAACTAATTATTACATGCAAAAGTTTGCAAGAAAAATTATTTTATAAAAATAGCAAATATTTATAGCATTTGCACACAGATCTTATTGATAAAATTTTGCGAATGAAATTTGCTAATTTTTAAGCAAAAAGAAGAGGAAATTAATCAGTTAAATGATTAATTGAATAAATAATTAAGTAATTAAATAATTAATTAGTTGGAATATTAAAAGTACTTGAAAAGCTTACTTCTTTAATAGTATGTAATAAGGCAACTAGAAAAAGTATTTTTTTAATCATTTCAAATTTAGTTATTCATTCACAGCAAAGTGCTGTGAATAGTTGAATAGTTGCATTTTTTGTGCTGAGAAAATCCATTTTTCAGCTGATTTTCACATGCTGGAAGAAAGCAAAATAAGTGAAGTGACGGACGAGACAACAATTCACAAGAATTGACATTAACGCGAAGTGATAAAACTTCCAACGAATGTCTCACTCACACACAATTTGCGCTTTTTATTTGCCAAAAAGTAAAAAGTAAAAAATAATTTTTTTCAAATTTTTGACTCATTTCTTTATGTTTTAAACTAAAAATGTTCGTTGCGTTTAGCAAGCAAATAATTATTGCATTTTTGTTTGTTTCTCTTTGCATTCAAATCATTTTCACTACCAGTTACACACTTGTAAACATTTGTTTTGTGCAAGCAAATATTTCAACAAATTTCGCATTTATTTTATTTTCAATAATGTGAGAAAGTAAGTATTATTATTATTTATTAATTAATTAACCAATTAATAATGGCATTACTGATTTCGATTAATAATTAAACGAACTCACTGTAAGCAAATATGTAACACATTTGTTTTCAATATTAAAGTGTTGATATTAAACATAAACTAATACAACATTATGCAATTATAAGCATGCTCCAATCTCTATATTCATTTATCAATGTTCAATGAATCACTATTTATAATCTTTCAATGAATAAAAACTTAATTCATAATTTTTTTACAATTTTTACTCAGAAATAATAACAGAAAAGTTATTTTATGGATAATCGCTTTCTCAATCCAATTATATTTGTGTATAAAAATAATAATAATTGCACTTGGAGAACTTTTATCTTTTTTTTCCTGCAAAAGATTCTAAAATATATATCCAAATGTTATGGAAGTCGGAGAAATCTCTTAATTATTGCAATACTGCAAAGTAATTACTTCCTGCTTGGTTCAAATGTCAGTTATTTCGATTAACCAAATACCAATTAATTTTAGGATATATATATATATATATTTTTTGGTTACCATTTACTTTTATTATAGACTACTTTTTTAGGGTGAAATTTGAACAGTAATTGTGAAAAGCTACGAAAATTTAAATTTAGAAATGCTTAAAACGAAAAAATATTCATACATAATAAATGCTAGAAATATTTTTCGAAAAGTTTGCATGAATTGACAAGTAGTTTTTCATTAAGTATTATTGTAATTTTCAATTTCAAATTATTAAACATAATAAATTGATCATTGTATGTTTTTCTAAAACTTTTAAGTTATTCAATTAATTATATTAGTAGCAATATTTGTTCTTAAAAGTTTCAGAATTAAGTAATTTTCATTCATTGCAAATATAATTATTTGAAAATGTTTAAAAAGTTTTATTTTTGTTTTTTGCTGAAAGATTTGTCAAACTGTTTTGAAAATGTTTAAATTTGATGGAAAATCGTTTTGAAAAATGATACCTTTTCTCGTCTTCATTTTTCAAAATAAATTAGGCATTGATGCTGTTTGATCTTTTCTTTAAACAAAAAAGAATGCAATTCTCTTCTCATTTAAAAGCAATGAATTTTTATTACAACTCGATTTTTGTATTTTCTGAATTTAAATATATTAGCAGTGCTGAAAAATGCAAATTCTGAAAATATAAAACTGATCAAAATTGGATTTTATTGATTTAAAAAACAAAAAAATTTAAATTTTATGAAATTTACGTTACTGTATTGCAAATAAAAAAATTACTGTGAATTATTTGTACAATGAAAATGAATTATAAAGAAGCAAAAATGTCAACGATTTGGCTGTGCTATCTCTGAGTGTGCGATAAACTTCAATTTCATTTAAAAGTAATACTAAAAACTAACATTTTTCCTCATCGTTTTTTCAAGAAAAGATTATTCAGCGAATTTCATGATCACTTTCTATAAAAAAATTATGTTTACTGAAACATACGTTATTTTTTCAATCTAAAAGTTCCTATCATTTTTCAGTTATTTCTGGATAAAAACTATTAAACATTAAACATATAGATTAATGTTTAATAGTTTTTATCACGTAAATGTAAGTATAAACTTTGAGAATACGTAAATACGTGTAAGTACATGCTTCAAAACGTGTAAATTTGTAACTTTTCGCAAGTTGTTTGAATTATTGATGTAAATTTCGTTTTACAAATTACTTGCAGAGTTGGTAGTTTGATGCTTTAAAGATTTTTAATCTTTAAATAAGCAGTTGCTTATTTTTTACTTTTGAGACAAAAGAAATAAAGTATCCACTTTGTTACACCAAATTACTTATCTATGTAACATAATGAGGTCAAAGTATGATATTTTAATGAGCAAACAAACAAGCTCAGTTTAATCAGTCAGCAGTGAATGATTTGAATATTTTTATGGATGCATTTTGTGTTAAATTTGATTGAAAGATTCCATGTTATTAACGGTTCTTACATTCATTTTAGACTCTTTTTATATAGTTTCCAATTAGGTTGCAACTTTGATAGCATTATTAACAAATAAACTGTGCAGATATATATCATTCATTGTAAATAGCCAGAAGAGGCATAAATTTGAAGAAGTGTCTGATGGGAATAGTACTACTTTGAAGGTGTTGATCGTTCATTTTCATGGCAGTACTTGAAATTCTGATGTTTAATATCAGATTATATGCTTGATTCTATCTAGCTGCCAACTCTTACAAATCAGCTACAGCATGTTTTTTCTGCTTTCCGTGCTTTTATTACAGTTTGCATGTTTCTATCAATGGATAATATGCTAAATCCACTGAAAGGAAATTACTATTGAAATAGGAGCAAAAATATTACAAACCTTTGACTCCTATAAAAATCAACTTTTGGTTTCTAATATTTAAGCCCTAAAATCAAACAATATCCATTGAAAAGTTAATTTTATTCAAAATCAATTCTTCAAT